TGTGTGTGTGTGTGTGTGTTTGTGTATGTCTGTGTGCGTGTGTGGTGAGTGTGTGCGTGTATGTGCGCGTGCGTGCGTGTGTGCGTGTGATTCGACATCTGGATCCAATTTAGTTGTTTTTTAACTCGTCTTCCATTGCGGTTTGCGTTTGTTTTCGTATGTTTTTCTTTTTGTTTTACGATTCCTCTATTTTCGTTTCTCTCTGCACACTCCCGCGTTTATTTATTTATTCTACATTTCGTTCTCTACATTACGTCCATATTTATTTAACGTTTCTGTGGTCATAACTATTATATATAGATTTTATGTTATTATTATTATATTATTATTATTTACTATTTTATATATACATATATATATATATATATATATATATATATATATATATATATATATATATATATTATTTTTTTTTTTTTTTTTTTTTTTTTTTTTTTTTTTTTTTAAGCCACGAAAGTACTTTTTTTTTTAGCATTGTTAAAGGGCGCTGGCTTATACACGCGAGAGAGCCTGGGACTCCGTCTGATTATTGGTGATGTAAGTTCATGTGCGCCCATTGTGTCAGCTGGTCGGGGGATCAGCTGGTGGGAGAGGCCTGGCAGGGGCGCGCCAGCTGGTCAGATTGGGAGGGGGGAGAGGGAGAGGAGTGGGAGTGGGAGGGAGGGAGAGGGAGTGGTGGGAGGGAGGGGGAGTGGGAGGGGGAGAGGGGGGGAGGGAGAGAGGGAGAGGGAGTGGGAGTGGGAGGGGAGAGGGAGGGGAGAGGGAGGGGGAGGGAGGAGGGAGAGGGAGGGGAGGGAGGGAGGGAGGGAGGGGAGTGGGAGTGGGAGGAGGGAGAGGGAGTGGGAGGGAGGGAGGGAGGGAGGGGAGGGAGGGAGAGGAGTGGGAGTGGTGAGAGGGAAAGGAAGATGGAGGGGGAGTGGGAGTGGGAGTGGGTGGGGGAGAGGGAGTGGTGGGAGGGAGGGAGGGAAGGAGGGAAAGGAAGAGGGGAGGGAGGGAGGGGGAGGGGAAGGAAGAGGGAGGGAAGGAGGAAAGGAAGAGGGAGAGGGAGGGAAAGGGAGTGGGAGTGGTGGGAGGGAGGGAGGGAGGAGAGGGAGTGGGAGTGGTGGGAGGGGAGGGAGAAGGAGAGGGAGTGGAGGGAGGAATAGGGCGGAGGGAGGGCGCGGAGGAGCGAGAACGAGAGAGAGAGAAAAAAAATACAGAGGGAAACCAGAGCAATTACGGAGGAACGGAGGGAGAGAGAGAGAAAAAAAAAGAAAGAGAGAGAGACGGAGAGAGGGGAAAGGAAGAAAGACGAGGAGAGAGGGAAGAGGAGAGGATGATTGGGGCTCGTTGAAGCTTTTGTGGCAATTCGTTTGCACGTTTGGGGGCTTCGCGAGGCAAGTGGTGGTTGCAGGGGGGGGGGGGGGGGGTACCGGGTCGCGAGGCAAGTGGTGGTTGCGGTGGGTGTCCTTTCGGCGCCGGGGGGGGGGGGGTACCGGGGCCGGGCTATGAGGGTGGATTTGCTTTCTTCTTCTTCTTCTTCTTCTTCTTCTTCTCTTCTCTTTCTTCTTCTTCTTCTTCTTCTTCTTCTTCTTCTTCTTCTTCTTCTCTTCTTCTTCTTCTTCTTCTTCTTCTTCTTCTTTCTTCTTCTTCTTCTTCTCTTCGCAAGTGTGGTTGCGGTGGGTGTCCTTTTCGGCGGGGGGGGGGGGGTACCGGGGCTATGAGGGTGGATTTGCTTTCTTCTTATTATTTCTTCTTTTCTTATTCGTCTTCTTCTTCGTCTTCTTTGTCTTCTTCTTCTTCTACTTCGTCTTCGTCTTCTTCGTCTTCTTCGTTCTTCGTCTTCGTCTCTTCTTCTTCTTCTTTCTTTCTTCTTTCTCTCTTCTTCTTCTTCTTCTTCTTCTTCTTCTTCTTCTTCTTCTTCTTCTTCTTCTTCTTCTTCTTCTCTTCTTCTTCTTCTTCTCTTTCTTCTTCTACTTTTCTTCTACTACTACTTCTTCTTCTTCTACTACTAATAAGGAAGAGGGGGGGGGGGTCTACGTTGTGCTCCTGTGCCTCTTTTTCTTGTTCTCCTCCTCCTCTTCCTTCTTTATCATCTGTTTATTTTTTTCTTTCATTATCCACTCTTTCTCTTCTCCTCGTCCTTTTCCTCCTCCTCCTAAATCGTGCTCTTCGTTGTTCTCTTCCTCCACCACTTCTTCTTCCTCCTCCTCTTCCTCTTCTCTTCTCTTCCTCTCCTCGACTTTCTCCTCCTGCTTCCTCCTCCTTCCTCCCTTCTTCTCTCTCCTTGACCTTTCCCTCTCTTTTCTCCACCTCCTCCGTCCCGTCTCCCCTTCATTAACCCTCCCCCCCTCTCTCCCCTCTGCCCTCCCTCCCCCTCCCTCCCCTCCTCCCTCTCCCCACTCTGCCCCCCTCTCCCCACTGTGCCTCCCTCCTCCCTCCCTCTCCCCACTCTGCCCTCCCTCTCCCCTCCGTCTCCCTCCCTCCCCCTCCCCCCTCCCTCTCCCCTTCTACGCAATAGGTTTATTATTTTGGCAGAGCGACAGGGCGGCTGGACACTGCGAGGAAGAGCGAGGAAGGGTAGGAGAGAGGGGGGGGGAGGATGGAGGAAGGGAGGAGGGTAAGAGAGGAGGAAGAGGGAGGAGGGAGTGAGAAGGAGGGGTGGAGGGAGGGATAGGAGGAGGGTGATAAAAGGGGGGAGGGTAGGAGAGGGAAGGAGGAGGGAGGGAGAAAGGGATGTGGGAGGGAGGGTGAGAAAGGGGTGTGAAGGGAGGAGAGGAGAGGATGGAGAAATATGGAAGGGGAAAGGAGGAAGGTTGGAGGGAGGGAGAGAGTGAGAGAAGGGAGGATGGATGGAGTTGGGAATGATTAAAGAAAGAAAGGAGAGATGAAGGGAGAAAGGGAAGGTGGGAGGAGGCCAAAGAGAGAAAGGAGGGAGAGAGAGAGACAGATATACAGAGAGGGAGACCGAGACAGTGTGGCACGGGGAAGAAAAGAGAGAGAAAAGGAAAAGAGAAGAAAGGAGAAGAGAAGAAAAGAGAAGAGAAAGGAAAAGAGAAGAGAAAGGAAAAGAGAAGAGAAAGGAGAAAAGAGATGAAAAGAGAAAAGAGATGAAAAGAGAAAAGAGGATAAATGAGAAGAAAGTAGAGAAGAGAAGAAAAGAGAAGGACGTAGAAGAGAGGAGAAGGAGAAGAAAGTAGAAGAGAGGAGAAAGAGAAGAAAGTAGAAAGGAGAAGAGAAGAAGAGAGGAGAAAGAAGAGGAGAGGAGAGAAGAGAAGAGAGGAGAAAGGAGAAGAGGAGAGGAGAGAAGAGAGGAGAGGAGAAAGAGAAGGAAGTAGAAAGGAGAAGAGAAGAAGAGAGGAGAGAATCTCGACGAACGTCTCGTGTGCTTGATGATTCCTCAAGCCCTTTTGACCTCATTACTCAAGACCTTCCTCGGGAAATGAAACTTTTCTCGGGAAAGGAATTCTGTCTCTCTCTCTTCTCTTTTCTTTCTTTTTCTTTTTCTCTTTCTTTCTCTTTCTCTTTTTTTCTCTTTCTCTTTCTCTTTCTCTCTCTCTCTATCTACTCTCTCTCTCTCTCTCTCCATCTTCTCTCTTCTCTCTCTCTCTCTCTCTCTCTCTCTCTCTCTCTCCCTCTCTCTCTCCTCCCTCTATCTCTCCCTCTATCTCTCTCTCTCTCCTTCCGTCCCCCTCCTCCTCCCTCGTGGTCAAGGAAGGGAGGAGGGGGCCGGGTTGTGTGGGGGGGGTGAAGAGGATCTCCACATCGAGCCCCTCCTTAATCTCCTTCCAATCCCTTTCATTAGCCTCCTTGCTTCTTCCTTCCTTCCTTCCTTCCCTTCTCAGTCTCTGTCTCATTTTTATCTTTTTTTTTTACCCTTCTAGGAGATTATTGAGTGTTCTTGTCAATTCTTCTTTTTCTTTTTCTTTTTCTTTTTTCCTCCTCCTACTCCTCTATTCCCCTCCTCCCTCCTCTCCACCTCCTCTTTCCCCACCTTCTCCTCCTCCTCTTAAAACGCTCTCCTTCTCCTTCTCCTT